CAAAAGGGCAATCGCAGCGACTTGGGTAATGGGACCTGGTAGCCACGGCGTGTTCTTCTTCCATCGTGCTACGGCCATGTTCGCTTTGATAAAGAGGCCACCGTAGATTCCCTGTCAGACTGTTAGTTGAGGTCATGGGCTAGTGACGGTATGCGCTTACACCAAGGATGCCGAGGAAGACAAACGGAATCAGTTCAAAGCCGTGCCATCCCGTGCTGAACTTGACCTGGTACATGACAAGCTGCCCGGTGCGAAACGGATCAAATGCCTGCAAAACGACGGCAGCAGTCATGGCACAGACGAAACTCTGCCACATTGTCTTGTCTGGAAAGTAGTATGAGAGTTGCTAGTATGCGATTAGCATGAGACAGGGAGCAATTCCGGTCGTACCAACCTCTAGGCTGAATAACACTCCTCCAATTGGCGAGCCAAAAGCCACCGAAATTCCAGAGGCGGCAGCAGCAGAGAGAACCTCTCTTTTTCGAGCTGTCGTGACATTAGTAAACTAAACGATTTGCCTTGCAGGCTTGGCTCACCCTCGTTGTCATTGATATTCTTGAAGAGCTTGATAAAGAGATTTGCGCAACAACAAGCAACGTGGACTAGAGGTCCCTCTTTGCCTAGCCACATGCCCGAACCAACCGCAAGACACTGCATGAGTTAGTGGACATGATACGAAGGAGAAGAACGAACTTATCACTTACCAAACCTAATGACTTGGTGATCAAAGTCCAGCTGCCAAGAAACCTTCGGATAATGAAACCACCCAACACCGTCTTGATCTCAGGTATACCGCTGTGTTTGGCATACATTCCATACTCCTGGACAAGTATAGCTGCAGCAGATGCCAAAATGACCTCCAAATCATCAGCAAAGAGGCGCGAGGTTATGGGATCGCGAGACTTACAGAGAGGACGAGAAAGAAGAAGTACTCTACGAACCACTTCCCTCCGCCGGAAGAAACCCCCAAGGCCTTCGCCCATGGTGTCCATCCGCCACACTTTGACATCTCATTGTAACCCCAGCAGCAAAAGTTCTTGTTCAGGTAGAATGCGCCGCCTTCTGGGCCGCTGGAGCAGTATCCTGTTTTCAGGTCGCCAAGCCAGTCAGTCGTTATGTCGATGCCAGCAGCAACAGCGCCAACAGCCATGCCGGTCAAGATCAGAATAATCCAGACCTCGCTGACATCGACGAGCTGTTTGAACAGCCCAAGCAACCCTTGCGCCCCTGAGTGGAGGACGCGCAGACGCTGACGCTCCTTTGTGTATTCGAAAATCCAATCGATGGCCGTCAAATCTTCGTATCCCACTCTTCTTCCCGGCCCTTCCACGTACCAATCTAGTGGCGCGCCGTCTTTGGTACCCTGGCTCGCAGCGCCATGTGCGCCTGTCCTCCGAGGTGATCGATTTGGATCGTGGGTAGGCGTTCGCGCTCGCGGCGAGGAGTGAGGGGAGGCAGTGCCTGATCGCGAACCGGTGAAGGCGGACAAGAGGCGGCTCGGAGCTGAGATAGCGTTCTGTTTCTGTTTTCGCTTGAAGGAGAGGGGTTCTTCGAGGTCCTCATGGATTGGGTCCTCGATCAGGACATCGGCGACGTCTTCGTCTTCGCTCCAGAAGTCCAATTCGTCTCGATCGGCGGGGTCCGTATTGCTGTTGCTGTTGCCGGCGCCACTGTTCAGCGGACGCGATGAGGACGAGGCGGACGAATCATAGTGTACAGGACCGGCCATGGTGCGAATCTGGCGACATTGACTCCCAGTATCCTCAGATCATAGCCATCCTGTTGTCGTTTCAAGGTTCTCTTGAACAGGACGGAAACGGTATCACCTCCCCCGTCGCCGGATGGATACCTGTTCGGTGACGAGCCGCGCGTGGCTGACTCGGTGTGGAAGCTCGGGCCTCTTTGCGGTCCGTCTTGCGGCTGATGCGACGCCGGGGCGAGTGGCCAAGGGGACCACCACCTGCAGGGGTCCTGTTGATGGAATGCATCTGACGGTGGGGGGTGGCTCCTTCAGCGATCTGGGTCTTTCCAGCGCGGGGCAATTTTTCACGACGGCATCCTTTCGTCTGATCTTGGCATCTTGCGCATTTCCTGTGGGGGTGACAGCCTGCAATTATCGCACTCTTCTTTCAACAAGGCAGCACATTATTTTCGAGAGACTAGGTTGTAGCACGTGCCGTCTTCGGCTTTGATGCCCACCGGATTTGCAACCCAAGAACTTAAACACTTGACTTACACGCTGCCTCACCCGCCTAGGAACATCGACAACAATAAGGAGACGTAAAAATGGCAGACCAAGCTCCCGCAGGGTCCGCCGCGGCGCAGGCACCTCCTGATGTCTCTCAGTCGACGCCGGGAACGCAGCAAACCGCATCGCTCGACCAAATTCAGAGTATGTTGAAGGCCAAAGATGATACCTCTAGATTCGTTGGCTTAGCTCTGTTGAAAAGCGTACTTGACAACTCGGAGGAGCTGCGCAACAATGAAGATACCGTCTCGAGTCTTTGGGAGTCCATATCCCCCAAGTTTCTGGACCGGCTGCTGAAGACAGGCTCGTCTACGCAATCTGGCCAGAAGGACGCAAAAAACATGCTGGATCTTTCAGTATCAGTTATCCATACTTTTGCTTTGCTTCTACCAGATCAAGCGAAAAGAGACAAACGACTGATTGGAAGAATGCCTCTTTTGGTGTCCAGTTTGCTACGAAGGTATGCCGATATCCTGCAGTGGCAACTTTAGGATTTACACTTATCATGTATGTAGCTCTGGAGAAACTTCTGAGATGATTATTCAGACCCTTCTCACCATGGCCGCTTTTCCTGAAGGAGCAAAGGTTTTCTACGACATTGAGGATGTAACTCCTCTAGTTGAGGTCGCTCCAAACAACCCATCTGCTCTCGAGATCTTTTCTTTTGCGTGGATCAACTGCATGGACATCGCAGAAGACAGGCTCGTACTGGAGTCCAAGATCGACACGACCATCCAAGCCCTGGTGTCGACCTTCAATGGCACAGATGGTGTTACTTTGCTCGAGTTCCTCGGCAAATTTCTGCGAAATTCAGATCCCAAGGTAGTTCCCCCTTTACGACAATACAGGCAGCTGACTTACACTTGAATAGTCCCTACCTTCGAACCCAAAGTGGATCAAAACGTCCACCGACTTCATCAAGAAACTTCTCACTAGCCGGCCCACGCCAGAGGCAAGGAACGCCTATACCGTTGCGGCTGCATCCTTGCTTGAGGTATACCCTTCGAAAGCATCAAGACTTTTATTTACCAGCGATGAAAAGGATGATAAGCCATTCTCGTACCTGTTCATCACCCTCCTCCTCACCGACACCAGAGCGAGTCTTCCCCGCCTCTTGGAGCTTCTCAATGATCCCATCTACCTAGCCATCGCACAACGGTTAGGCTCGGCCTTTGATGTCACAACACACTTTATTGGCTATTTGGTGAAGAGCCTTGACGAGGAGAGTCCATCGCCAGCTGCCCTGGTAATGCCTCCCGACTTCCTGCTCAAGATCCGTCGGACGATTTCGGAGGCTCTGTCCCTCGCAATCGAGTTCCTCCGAGACAGGTGGGATGCGTCTGTGGCAGGCGCCTTTGGTCTGCACCCTGAAGCGCGTGCAAAGGAGACCGACACCTCCATGGGGAAGAGGCTGACAATCTCTTGGGAATCAAAGAAGAGCAACGTTCACGAGGATCCTCTAATTCTGGCAGCTGTCAAAGCCCTGGCCATCTGGCTTCGCGAGGACGACAACGACCTGCTGAGAAAGGAAGCAGCAGGGCTGACTGACATGCTCCTCGACCTCTACAAGTCGAGCTCTTCGTCAAGTCTCGGCTTCCGGTCACCGATCCTAGTAGGTTTGGAGGGGATCCTGGTCGAGAAGGCTGGGCTGGAAGAGTTCACGACACACAACGGCTGGGACGTTTTGACAAAAGACCTCGAGGCCATCCTGCAATCCACAACCACGTCAAGCGACGAAAGCGAAGCCGCGCGCGCTATCGAGATTGTCCGCATCCTTCTGCCAATCGTGGAGGGCGAGGAAACCGGATCGAGGCAAGAGTGGATGGCCCTCGTGACGACCGTAGCCGCCTGGCACACTCCCGAAGCCAAGCAGCCTGCGTTGGTACAGGAAGCTCACATCGCAGCTCTCCAACTCACCACCGCGCTGCTTGTGGGCGCGCCTTATGGTATGAGGAAGCGCTACGTACACTCCACGAGCGCCGTGCTGGGCATAGCTGGGCAGCTTGAGAAGCACGTGAGCTCGGATGACCCGCTGAGGGAGTCTTTGGACGATGTCCTGCAGACGCTAGATAGACTTCGCTAGTTTTTCCAGCTTCATAGACAACTAGCTCATTGTATCCGGCGAATCCAAGTGTCCAGACACACGTGGCGAGAGACTTTTAGTTAGCCAACAAACGTTTGAAGGATTCCTTGTCCAAGTGATACTTGAAAAACCTGGCCATGAAGCTTCGAGGCTTGTACATGAATACATCGATCAAGCAAAGTACTCTGATGCGTCTAGAAGACCAAAACACAAGCTTCCGTAAACCACTTGCGCATGTAAGTATGGACATACGACTTGCATGGTGCCAGATTCCAGTTGAGCTGAATGTGATGGAGCGCCTCAACAAGTTTGACTCGTAAACGTAAATAAAACAACCGACGTCTCCGAGCACTGACTACCTTGATCATTGTACAAAGTGCCTGCAACACAAGTAGATTTTTCGAGAGCATGCGGTTGAATGCGAGAGGAACCGGAGTCAGGGAAAAGAAACAACACTTGAATATCGCTACTCCAAAGAAGGTCATTAGCAGCTTCAAGATGCTCTTCCCCTGAAAAAAGCCAGTCATAGTCTACAGCCTAGGAAAAAACCCTTGTGAGGGACAAAAGGACTATAGAATCCATAGCCTCCCCGGCTCGAGAGAAAACCTTCATATAATGAATCCGGTCCATGACCAAACCTTCATCGAAATGGACCCCCTTCACATCGACTCAAATAACAGCAGCCACCGGAACTTGTGTCTCCTGCCGAACAGTTCCCACGCCCTCATCTACATCATTGCTCTTCAACGCCGCAGCCTCAGCCTTGGCCCGCCTCTTCCTCGCCCGGCGGACCTCAATCTCGATATCCTTCATCTCGGCGTCCACCGAGACCAACCGGGGAACGATATCCTGCACGGCCTGCACCGAGAGCGTTTGCGCCTGTCTCAAAGGCATCGGCGCCAGGATCCCGAACCACCGGAGCGGATCATTACTCTTCTTCTTCTTCTTTTGCTTCGCCTTCTCGTTCTCTTTCTCCACCTCCTCCTCCTTCTCGGCTTCTTTCTCCATCTGCTCTTCACCGACAGAGGTCACCCCTTCCGCCTCCATGCTCGGGGCCTCATCAACATCATCATTCCTCCTCGCCGCCGCCGCCGCCGCCGCAGCCTCCGTGGTCTCCGTCCTCGGCTCCGTCACAGCATCATCCCCCTCCGCAGCCCTGACAACCTCAAAGCGGGGGACACCCCTGTCATCCACAGCCAGCTCGAGGGTCCTCGAAGCCCGCATGCGCTCGTCGTAGTAGTCCGGCCCGTAACGGACGCCCCTCTCCGCGGAGAAGTTGGCTCGTGCAATGTTCTGATACATGCCGGCCTGGGTCCGGCTGAGGCGCTCGCGCAGGGTCGTGTACTCGTCCAGCAGGACGAGGTAGCGCTCCAGGAGGCTGTCAACGTGGTTTGTCTCCATTGTCTTGTCTACCTGGGCGTGTTGGTGTGAGTTGCGAGGTGTGTGTGTGATATGAGGATGTGGCGGCGAGGGGTTCAAGGTTGAGCGAGCAAAAGGCGGGATGAGTCTATGGGAGAGGCTGGAAGATGCAAGGGTATCGGCTTGCTGTGGCTGAGACGTGCGGCTGAGGGGGACTCAAAAGCATGTAGGTGAAGGTCTGGCGTGTTGTGTCGCCGAGATTGCCTATGCAGCTGACTCTGAGCGATGAAGATGAGATGGTCCTGTAGCGCTATGCATGAGGTTGATTGTTGGCTGTAGCCTCACATGCATTGGAAATTTGTGGCTTGAGCGATGATCTGCACAGAAGGAACGGCACTCTCATGCAGGGGTGGCCCTGAGCCAGGTAGGTACCTGGGGACTGCAAGACCCGAGTCTGCGGCGATGGCTAGGTACATGTACTTTACCTCTGTCGTCTTTGGAGCCCATTCCATCGCCGATATCGTCAGCATCGAGTCGCTCTACTTTGTGCTTGTCCGCCATGAGCCGTCAGCCTAGCGACTTTTAATCAAAATAACTCCCCGTGTAAGTTCTCGACATGCGACGATCCCGCGGTCAAGACATTCCAACGGGTAATGCCACATGCCAAGACAACGCTTCCCCCAAAAAAGACAAGAGAGAAAACGGCTGAGCAAGCGTGCAAGGAAACCTGATGCAACAGCAACGGTGACGTGAGAACACACGTACAAAGGGACTGAGGCGATGTCGAGGCTCGGCGGCAAACAAAGCGGGAACAAAGACGGATGGAGGGAGGTTATGGGTTCAGTACTACGGATACATATCTCCTCTTTGGTCCTTTGAGGTCCTGTCATGCCCTGTCATGTACTTTTATTGTCGGATGGCCGTCGGGTCGGTGGTTGTTTGTAATGCGTTCGTACCAATGCGACCCTTCTGGCATAGCTTCCTGTTTCAGCTTTCGACATCGATGTGTACGATTTGCTATCGAATGTGCCATGCGCTTAGCAGGGAAGAATGCAGTCTGAAAGCGAGACATGATGGTCAGGAATCAGGGTAACTAATGGCCACACAGACCGACGCCGCCATGGTGTCCAACTGCCTGTTGGGACCTATTTGGATTTCCGGTTGCCAACGCAAATCTGTCGAGCACGAGCCGGGGATGGTCCTTTTATGTCGGTGATCCCGGTGATCCCGGTGATCGATCACGCAGAACCCTGGGCGATGAACGCAGGTGGGACTGAGGAGGACGGTCGGGAAATAGGCACTCGGAGTGCTTGGCTTTTTGAACGCAGCCCGGATTAATGAAGAGACTTGGATGAAGACCAGGTGGAATAATCGAGAAACAGTATTCGTACAACGCAATGCAAAACGGGAAGCAAACCGGGCCATCGCGCCAGGCGGGAGCGGCTGGATCGAAGCATTAAAGAAGGCTGCAGGTTCCCGTCTAGCTTATTCCCTGTACATGAGAGACTGCCTCAAACGCGTGTCGTCCATATGACTTGGAAGACACCGTCCAACCCCAAGGCTACTTCGCGGGCCTGACGGTGTTTCGATGCCCACTTTGACAGCGCGAAGCGAGGGTAGCATTCGGGACGGCAAACTGCAGAAGAATGATTTGCCTAGGGGCTGGAGTCGAATTGGCACAGCACGCGACGAGCGAGCGATGCGATGGCGGCGTGTCAGTGTCAAACGTCGAGGTTCAAGACCTTGTGGTCGAGCCGAAGACAAAGAAGGGATTGCTGGCTAGATTCCCGGGTCAATGAGCCACACATAGAGTCAGTCCGCGCCTTCAAGTATCATCCAGCCTAGGTAGTTCTCGAGTTTTGGCAGCGACAGCTGACGCACGACAGCGTAATCATTACGTCTGTCTTGCTCGGATGGTATTGACGAATATGCTTCGATGTGAACTGTAAGACGAAGTTGAGAAGTCGAGATCCCAAAACATGTTATTCTGGGTCCGCGTTGCTTTTGATGGAGGTGCGGATCCGCCCGAGAAGACCATCTCAGGACCAGGTCGATCATTAATTAGTGTCGGTCTGAGACGGTGGGGCCCAGCAGCTTAGATCCCGCAGTGCATTGCAGTGTTGCAGCATTGACGAAGAGGAGCAATGTATGGTCTGGATCCGGTGCCCCTTCCCATCTCGATAAACGGCCGCTGCAGGCCGCGAGTGGCGGGAGGTCGCCGACGCTGATGGTTGAACTTACGATTTCCATGGTGATATGAGGAGGCGTCGATACGGATCGGTTCTAGGGAGGGGAGAGAGCCATGGGATGATTACGCGAAGAAAAATAGATCAGGCAAAGTTTGGTGAAAACTCTGCTGGACAAACCTAGGCTGGGCTGAGTTGTTGATGACATGAGGGCATTCCTTTCTTTTTCATGCGTTGAGGAAACCTACCTTTTCTACCGCGTACGGTTAAGGTGCCGGGCCATTATCGTCTGATAGTGTTCTGGTGAAAGGGCGTCACTGCAAAGTGGCAAGAACACAGCACTGACATGAAGGAGCACATTCCACCTCGCTCCGCTGCGAAAGGGTTAAGGTAGGCTGGACGAGAATGGTTCCTAAATGGTAGGTGCGTGGAAGACATTTGAGCCGTTGGCAGACGGCACTTGGCGAGAGGTGCGTTGAGAAGCGTACCTACCTAAGGTAGTGTAAAAGGCCAGTGCGATATGCGGGTTGGCTGGCGTGATGCCAGGACCGTGATGCACACACACAGTGCCTACCTCCAGGTATGCTCGTGCTTTGCTGGTGCAGGACTATCCGTACTTTACGGGTGTGCTTCTTGGGACTTGTTGCAGAAGCTTGGACGATAGACCGAGTAGGATTTAGCAATGATGTCTCCTGCCTGCCATAGACGTTCATCCAAGAAGACAAATTAAGCGTACCTAAGGTACGCTGACTTAAAGTGTAAGGCACCTCAGGTAAGGTAGGGACGCAAGCAGGTTGGTCACCTCTAGTACCTCTGCACTTGCACCTTCCTCGTCGAAGCTTACCAGGTACGTACTTACGTATACTTGATTAGAGGTTGGCAAGCACATGCATTTTGCAACATGAGAATGGTGGGGGACGGGATTCTAACGCCTCAGGCCCAAAGTTCCCTCTACCCAATGTGTGCAGAGGTGACGAGGGTTTCTCAAGGTACGGATACCTGGCCTCACCTCCCGTCACCTGGAGGACTGTCAAGACTAAACACTTCGGGTACACTAGACGCAACACCACTCCCAAGCACACACAGCTTCTGCTGACAACTGGCACCGCTTCGCCCTTCAACGCCTTGCGGCTTTGGTCCTTCCCTTGGCTACCAGAAGCAGTCGCAAGTTGCAACGCCAGTGCTGCTGGAGTCGAAGCCGGCCCAAAGATCTACGGAGTACCCAGCTCAACCCAAGCCAGCGGATGCCGCTCTTTCAAAGACGGGGGACGATCCACTCTTTACGGGTTAAAAAAAGTGGTCGGTGAGGGCGGTGAAGGATCAAGACGACGACGAGTAGGAGCAAGCTACGAATGCCACGCGCCCCCAACCCCGAGCCAGACGGAACCATCAAGCCGAGAGTTCCAAGACTTTTGTCCAACTCATCGCTATCGTGGCCACGCGCCTACCTTACCACCTTACCTAGATCCGCTTGGATAGATTTGCTGGCACTTGCTGGAGAGCGCTGGGCCAGGTTTTTGGTGCGTATGGGGTGGGCAGAACCACGCTGTACCGGGCAACATCGGCAACGGCACCAACAAACGCACCTCTCGGTATCAAAGACAAGCGCCTGAGGGGTTGGCTTGGTGCCTCCTTCTCCTTGATACGAAATCCATAGACGGCAAAAGGGTGGCTGCTTGCACTCTCGTCCGTATACCGCATCTCATTCCCTTCTGATATTAGCGGAAAGCACAGGAGGGAGGAACCGCCCTTGGGACTGAGATGAGCAAACCGGGGCATGGCACCGACGCTGGCTACGTAACCCCTGGAAGTTGAGGTGAGCGTCGAACAAATTAAAGGAAATGGAAGCCGGCGAGGTGAAAGATTGGTGAAGACGGCCCCGCACACCCCCCCCCCCCGACCAGGCTATTCGTTCCAGAATCCAGCAGCGGCATCAACCCACGTCTGCGGCCTGCCCTGGGTTATTCGATACCTTGGTGCCTATTCGTACTCCGTACATGTCTTACGGGCTAGGTATGGTCCACGGATGCACTCTTTGCTTTCCGCACAATCCAAGGACCAAGGGAACATGGCTGGACGTTCTTGACCTTCCGGGTTAGGCCATGTTCTCCAGCTAGCACTGCACCAGGCTATCTCAAGCACCCAAAAGCCAACCGATCAGGCGCCATCCATCCCTCTGGAACACTGACCAGTACCACCCCTTCTAACCCCAATCATGGCAAAGACCAGCCTTGCAAACACCAAATTAACACGTTGACGTCGACGCGGGAGCAGGAAGACGAGGCGGCGGCGGTTATGGACTTGTGGTGGTGAACAGACTAGAGACCCCGGAGGGACCCTCCTGACACGGGCACTCTCCAATCCCTACCCGCCCCCAGCCTGGCTCACCCTCACGTCCAGGCTCAGGGCACGAGGTACGAGGCACTTGGTCCATCAACAAGTCACTTTGATGAGAAAAAGATGAGACGAGAGACTTTGGAGTTGCTTGCTTTTCGACTGCCCATTGATTAGAGATGAGGGGTCCCCCTTTCTCTTTCTCTCTCTCTCTCCTTTTTATAACCCTGTGATTCATTGGAGGTCCGCTGCCCTCGTGAGGCACTCCAAATTGCTTTGGACAGTATTGTTTGTGAGGATGCTTCTCTGGAAGGTATTCGTAAAGTACCTTGGAGTCTACGTCTCTGGTGAGAACCGGGGAAACTCACAACTTACCTCAGGTAAGTAGGTAGCAGACAGGAAGGGACGATTCCTGTGTCTGCTGCAGCTGAATCCCTTGACAATTGCCCTGTGCTGGTTAGCCATACTTTCTGCCCAAGTTCTTGCTGTCAACTGCCATAGATGATGGACGTCTTTGTTCGTCTTTCCATTTAGAAGGCCTAAAGGAGACGGGACTCGGGAATAAGTACTCGTGGGCGTGGTTGGGTAGATAGTTGGCCGAAACAACCCAGGCCAGATGTTCAGTTTCCTTGCATTCAAATCAAGGATGACAATATGAGAGGTATACATGATGCTTGTTGAGTGTCTTCATTCTGAGAGTGTCGAGACATACAATATCTCAGCATACAACACAGGCCTTGCCACGCGCGCCTCATACAGCTCTTTCGGTCTCGTCGGTCTCTGCTGCACCTTGCCTTAGTTACGTGTGGTGTGTGCAAGGTTCTCTTCCCGCAGCCTCCCATTGACTTGCCTTGCCTTGACACTGACACCAACTGACACTCGTCAATTCCACCCGTCTTTTGACTCAACTTACCTTTGGGTACCTGCCTGAACCCTTCATCTTTTCTTGTTCTCCCCTCGCTCTCCTCTCACCCAGATGCTGATCTCATTTGACGAGAAAAAGAAAGAAGAAAAAAAAAAATAGGGAGTTTACAAACTCAAACCCCCTAACGCAAGGCCGAGTTTGCTGCTACCTTACCCGACCCCATCCTCCCCCTTCTATTCCCAGGTTCAGTCTGGCAGTCTGCTGAGGTGTCCCACTTTCCTGCGTGTGTTCTGCCGCTGGTGCACCGCTGCAGCGTGTGTCAAGACCACCGCCGACGCCATCACTACCTTGCTAAGATAAAATAAAATAAAAATCCCCGACGACATCTCACTTGTCACCTCCCAGACCGTACTGGGTACACAGTAAATGTCCTTGACCTTGCGGCTTTGCCTTGGTTGGGTCTCGCCCCGTCGTCGCCTCCTTCTCTCACTCGCTCCTTCCCTACGTTGCCTTGGCTCTGTTATCCTCGCCTTACTCTTTCCATTTACCTTGCTGGCGTCCCTCGCCGTCACCTTGTCTCCTTGTCCCTTGCCTTGTTCTCTTCCTTCACCTTCTTACCACCACCTGCTGCACCGAAGAGAAAGAAAAAACCACCACACCGGCTCCCGACCCAATCCACGTCTTTTTCCTCCCCTTCGTCGCCCCCCCCCATTTCGACCTCGACCCCGTTCTCCGTCTCCACTACCCACCTCATCTTTCCGCCCTGCAGCAACGGCAACCACCACTGCCACTGCTCCTAGTCTCCTCCATACTGCGACTCCGTACCAATACCACCACCACTGCCACTACCACCACACTTTACCTACCACCCGACTCGACTCCTCTTGCCCGCTGCCACTCTAACCCCCAACTTACCTGCGCCTGGAAATCACACCCGACTCCGACCCCGACCTCGACAAGACAAGACACTCGACACGACACGACGCGCTGCGCGATAAGGGAGAGACTGAGAGACCGGTCTTAATTTTTCTTTCCACAGGTCTCTGTTCCTGCACAGGAACATCATTGATCTAGACAATGGTCGTCGCTACTATCAAGTGCGTACATTTTGAGCCTCTTTTCGCTAGGCTTCGTTTTCTTACTCCTCCCCCCTTCCCGACACTTGTCAACTGACGGCTTGTCGTCGCCCTTTCCACTATTTGGCCTGCCTGCTGCTGCTGCTGCTGCACTGTT